AAAGTTCAACTTTTTGGAAATAAAAAATGTAAATGTCTTCATGAAAAACTTGTGTGACAGCTGTCCTCAGATCAAATGACCACAGATTTAGAGCTGTCTGTTCACCTGTTCTGTCCCGCCTCTTTGTACTTTAAATCATTGCTTGAACCGTCTCGTTATAGAAGAGTTTGTTCTTTCTAAGCTGGGAATTCACTTGTGAAAACAAAATACTATAAAACCTACAGAAAATTATCAGTATTATGTTATACATGTACATTGTTTTTGTATTTTTACTGTAAACTTTGTCATAATATGAAACATTTGGGCATCACAGAAAAGCTGCTGTGATTGTTTGCAGTGTCTCCTACAGCAATAAGCTGGATTACACAGCAGATGACAAAAACATTCTGAAATAATCTGGAACAACACCCCAAATGAATTAAATTTAAACTAGAGAAATTGAATTTCCTGCAAAAATGAAGTGTGCATTATTATTGCTGAAGTACTTGCTGAATTACAGCTGAAATTAGCTAAAAACATGCTGAAATGTAGCTGAAATAAAATAAGCCTACATTAGCAGAAGAACGCAGAAAGAATACATATTTGATAAATTAGGTTTAAATAATCAGAAATGAGCATAAAAAGAAATTAGCTAAAAAAAAAGGTGAATTTAGCAACAAACAAATAAAGCTGAAAAGTAGCTGAAAAGGCAGAAAGAAGTTTAAACTACTGGGAAGAAGCGGAAAGAGCTGAAAAAAAGCTTAAAATGTGTCATGAACCAGAGGCCGGATCGCAAACAACAACAACAACCACTGAGAGGGTTAAAAGATTTATTGTGAAATAAAGTAAAACTCTGGAGTAGGTCCGGTTCTGGGCTGGTTCCGATCTTCTGATTGGTAGTTCGTGATTGGGTAGTGTTGTAGTGGCGGGCTGCCAGTAGAAGTAGAACTGATGTTAAGGTCCACTGGAACGGAGTCCAACAGGCTTGCAACTAAAAGATAAAGGTTAGTAGATGCAGGGGGAAAGAGACTAATTGGGGAAATGAATCTGTGGGAATCAGATTCAGGGGTAAGGATAAGTCCGTGATACAGAATGAGCTTGACCTTTAATCCGTGATCCAAAAAACAGTCAGAAGGGAAAGGCAGAGTTCATACCGTGAAGTCAGTTGTTCAGCAGAAGTATCCAGTACGTGATCCAAAAAGAGAGTCAAAAAACAAGAACATGAGTCGGTACCTGATCAGATGAGCAAAAGCAGACGAGGGCTGAGGCAAAAGCGTGGTCGTGGTCAAGGCAAGGGTCATGAACGTGATGAGTCAATCAATGGAATGCTGGAAAGTCTACTGCTGATGAGACAGGATAGAGAATCTGGCCCAGACTGAGAGGAATGAGTGAGCTTAAGTACTGACTGGACCAGGTGGTGGAGCTGTGGGATAATGAGCGGTGACAGGTGACATGAGTTGAGTGATTACTGAGTGTGCAGCATGACAGAGGAGCTGACAGAGCAGAGCTATGACAAAAATGTGTAATTAGTTGAAAAAGCTAGAATTAGCATGAAAACAGTTAAATAGTAGCTGAAATAAATGAAAGCAGAAATAAGCTGTAAGGAGCACAACAAGCTAAAATTAGCATAAAGAAGTTAATTAAGCTGAAAGTAGCAGACATTACCATGAAAAACTTGAATTTATCTGAAAAAAACTGAAATTAGCTAAAACATGCTAACATAGTAGCTGAAAAGGGAGAACAAGCTTAAATTAGAAAAAGAAAGCATAAAAAATGCATGTTTGGTCAAATATACTGGTACTGGATACTAGACTTTTTAACAAACAGACCACACTCAGTGAGGATCCACAACTTCTCCTCCTCCACCATAACCCTCAGCACTGGCTCTCCTCAGGGATGTGTGTTGAGCCCCCTCCTGTTTACTCTGCTCACGTATGATTGTGCAGCTACCCATCCAGGCTGTCACATTGTAAAGTTTGCAGATGATACAGCGGTGGTGGGATGCATCACAAACAATGATGAGTCCAGCTACAGGCAAGAGGTGGAACACCTGGAGAGCTGGTGCAAAGAGAATAACATTCACATCAATGTGAAGAAGACAAAGGAGATGATTGTGGACTTCAGAAGGAACAAAAACATTTACACCCCCCTGAACATAAGAGGATCTGCGGTGGAAGTGGTCTCCAGCTACAAGTACTTGGGTGTACACATGAATGACAACCTCAGCTGGAGCAACAACACCACCAGCCTGATCAAGAAAGCTCATCAGAGACTCTACTTCCTCAGACGGCTGAGGCGAGCTGGTCTGGGAAGCTCAGTCCTCACCTCCTTCTACAGGTGTGCAGTGGAGAGCATCCTGTGCTCCAGCATCAATGTGTGGCATGGAGGCTGCACAGCTGCAGAAAGAAAAGCTTTGCAGAGAGTGGTGAAGGCTGCACAGAAATCTGTCGGAATCAGCCTCCCCACCATCACAGACGTCTACACCTCCAGATGCAGGAAGAGGGCCACCTGCATCATGAAGGACCCCACTCACCCAGCACACACACTTTTTGCCCGCTCCCCTCAGGAAGGAGGTTAAGGAGCATTAAGTGTAGAACCACTAGACTGAGGAACAGCTTCTATCCTGAGGCTGTTAGACTCATGAATCTCTAACTAGAATAATCACTGTGAAAAACCATATCATGTTGCTGCTGATCTGTTTCATGTTGCTGCTGATCTGTTTCATGTTGCTGCTGATCTGTTTCAATGTTGATGTGTTCATGCGTGCACATCGGCTCACAGACTCATGTTCATGTTTGTGCTGATGTTCAATGTTTTATGTTATGAGTGCTTAGTGTATATTTAGTTGATGTTTTTCTTAGTTCATATCTTAGATGTTATTACTGTTTTTCTTATACATTTTATTGTTGGATGTAACTGGGACCCTGTGTACATAATTTCACTCCACCACATGTACCACATGAGGTGCGAATGACAATAAAGAAACTCTGACTCTGACTCTGATATGTTAAAAGAAGGAGAAATGAGCACGAAAATGTGGAAATTATCTGAAAAAAGCTGAAAATAGTAAAAAAAAAAATAAAAAAACAGCTGAAAGGTATAGCTAAAAAGTTGAAAGAAGCTTAAATTACCAGAAGGGAGTGGAGGGAGCACATTTTTGCTGAACTAGGCTGAAAAAAGTTTAAATGAGTGCACAACATGTGGAATTAGCTGAAAAAATAGCATAAAACAGCTATATAGTAGCTGAAATAGCAGAAAAAAATGAAACTTGCAGAAATAAGCTGAAAGGAGCATAACAAGCTGAAATTAGCAGAAAGAATTTAGAAGAAGCACACAAATGTTGTAGTTAGCTGAATAAACCTGAAAGGAGCACAAAACAGCTGAAGAAACAGCAGGAAGTAGCTGAAAAAAGATAAATTTACACAAGGAAGCTGAAAGAAGCTGAAGCAGAACAAATTGTGAAAGGAGCAGTAAATTGTTGTAAACAGATCTAAAGATTTAAAGGATTGAAAATGAGCTCAATTCATTTTCTATGAGAAAAAAAATGGTAGAAAAGGCTAAATATCTCAAAAAGCTAAAGTTGCACCAATACCAAAAGTCATAGCAGGATTGTCCTGAAAGAGCTGAACGTTTTGATTTATGATTTGTTGAAATAGCTTAAAAACTGTGGGACGAGAAATGCACCTAAAAATGTACGGAATAAAAATGGATCACAATAGAGTGAAGGCTTCATAAACATTCACACTGGTCTTTACTCCAGTTCACAACAGTGGTGCTCGTCTATCTGTTCTACACAAAAAGGAAACAAAATGTCTGGTTTATATACAACCATAAACAGTCCAGTTCACTCTGATTTCATTGATTGATTTTGAATACAGTCACATTCAGCATATACGTTGTTTTAAAAAGACAATTCATAAACCGGTTGTTTTGCTATAGGAAGCTTGAACCAAATATTCGTCATGACTTTGTCTCCCGTTGTGGGCGTGCGAGGGACAGTAGGTGACAGAGGAGCAGAAAAGTTCCTTTTAACAGGAAAATAAAAACCTTCAGCAGAATCAGACAGGAAGAGCCACCATCTGCCTCACCCAACTGGGGGGGGGGGGGGGGGGGGAGAAGACGAGACAGAATCACAGACAAATACAAACGCTCCAGGCCCCAGACAAATATATTAAAAGCTAAATGTATTGACAGCTATAAATGTATTGACAGCTATAATATAGATACATGGAGTTGGTGCAGCTCAGTGGTGGTCCTGAGGTGGAGCTGTCCCACTGGCCCCTCCATGTCTCTGAGGCAGAAGTCTGTGCTGTTGGCACAGTTGTCAGCTGTGATTTGACGACCATGTCTCAGCTGCTGTTGGCTGGGCCTCTAATGGACGAGAGCAATTCCTGACACCACACACACACACACACACACACACAGGTTTGTTTTGCTATCTTTGTGGGGCCTTTGCATTGACTTCCATTCATTTTTCATTCATTTCTGTAGCCTAACCATGACCTTTATCCATAACCTAACCATTACCAGTACATACCTAACCCTAAACCTAACACATCCTCAATTCACACCTTAGTCCTAAACCTAGCCCCTAACCCAACAACGGGACTTCTTCTTATGGGGCCCGGGCTTTGGGCCCCATAAGGAGCAGTTGGTCCTCACAATGTAGTATAAGTTGGAAAAATGGGCCTCACAAAGTAGCATAAACAAGGACACACACACACACACACACACACACGCCTTCTTTAAATAAAGCAGCACGGCACTGCTGGTCGGGGCCCCAGTGGCATCGCTCCCATTTGCTGGGATCAGATAATGTTTCATGTCTCTGAGAGGAACAAGGGGGGGTCGCCACAGTCACCGGCATGGTCACCTCTGCTGCGTCACACTTAGACAGCAACTGTCTGGGTCTCACACGCGCACATCAAAGTGTCCATCGTTGGGAATAAAAGAGAGGATTACGATGGCCTCCCACAGATTAAAATAGCTTTTAATCTCTCCTCTCTCTGTCTCCTCCTCAGCCAATGAGAAGATTGATGATATCAATGGCTGTCCCAAGAGCCGTTCTCAGATGGTAAGTGATCTAAGTTTGTTTTGGGAGCGAGTTGTGACATTTAACCGTGTGCGCACGTGTGGGAAGGAACACACCCCTTTGATTTAGCGTCTCAGCGGTCCCTGCTGGAAGTGGCGGTGCAGAAGTCACTGAATGATTGTGGATGAGGATCTTTAGTCCATTTATATTCTCTCCTGTGGTCTGGTGGGCCACTGTCTGCGAACCATCTGGCTCTGGGCTAAAAGCATCGCAGCGTTTGGGTTTTGCCACTTAGCTTTATCTGGTTACACTTGCAATAAAGACCGCTTTCCCACATCTTCAGGAGACGGTGCAGTAAGGAGAAACTTTTGTTTGTTTGTTTGTTTCTTCCCTTAGGGACATTTAATTTATCTAAGAGGGCTTTTTGTCTGGTGTGTGTAATAATGCTGGTGGTATTTTACCGTTTTCACGGTCTTCTGTTGTCTGTGGGAAATGATCCAAGCCCTTCACTGCATCTGATGGGGTTTAAATTGGGCCAGTGTGCCAGCTGAGATGGGGGGGTGGGGGTACTTTTGGCCACCAGCCAGATTATTGAAGGCTCACAAAGCACCAGAGAGGGAGAGAGACACATACACACCCAAATGTAACATCTGAGGAGGATCCACAGCTGATCCCTGAACCCTCATGACAAACATACTGACACCGGACCCAAAGACCGAGGGAATTCTTTCCACACTGATCGTCGTTTCTTTATACTTTGCAGAAATTTGTTTATTTTTCTGATTGCATCTTTTTTATGTGTTTGTTTCAGACTCATCCATGATTCAAAAACTTATTTTTATTTGTTGCAATGAATTCAACCATATAGTTTGTGTGTGTTTAAATGTGGCTGAATTAAGGCATTGCAATTATATTAATAAACTAACCAACTATGCATCAGTTACCAGGTGGACCAGTGAAGATGTCAAACGATCTAATTGGCTGTTTGTTAGCTTTATTACACTTTATCACACATGCACACGTTTGCTGTAATCCTGTTTGTCATATCTGATTTAAACCCTGCTTGTGTCTGTGAAATCTTTCGGCAACAACCTAAGCTAATCCGACCAACACACTTTTAACGAGCCCGAACTGCTGCCGTCACATTAATCGACTCGCAGCAGCAGTGGGTTCATTTTGCCTCTGATCACAGATCGTGCTCTCAAATCAAAACAGCTGTCAACTAGCATTTCTTCCACTGGTTTTTATCCACAATAATTAGCTGCAACACGTCATTTTCGTCAAAAAGAATAAAATTATGATGGTGTTTTATCTGCAGCTCTGTCTGACTACACATCAGTATTTTCCACAGTCCTCTACGGACTTTTTTATTTTTAAATACAGTGCAGCACGCTCCTTAGCAACACATCCAGATGCAACATGCAATTGTATTTTTACAGTTTGTGTGTGGTAGTGCGGTTTCTCATCAGTCAAAAAGCAATTACCGGTACTATTTTTCTTCGTTTGGAGCAAATAAATCACAATCTGATAACAGCTGTGCTCCTTACTTGAAATTGAAAGAAAGCATCTTAATATTTACGAAATTTGTCACGAGACACATGGCTATAACTATTAAACATAATATAAACCCATTTTGTCACAGAATGGGTTTATATTTTTACTGCCAAAACGTAACAGGAAGTGACGACAAAGAGGAACTGTTCAGCTTCACCTTCAGTTTCTTGGGCCGTCAGCTGTGTCGAACAACAGAACCTAAAACTAGTGCTCGGTCATCTGATAACAGCTGATCTTCATCATCTCTCTGATAGTGACTCAAAATAATTGTTGTTCCCAACCCTGGTCCTTGAGGAACACCATCCTGCGTGTTTTAGTTGTTTCCCTGATTTGAATCAATGAGTGACTAACAGGCTTCCGTAGAGCTCGATGACTTGATTAGATCACTGAATCAGGTGTGTTGGAGTAGGGAAACAACTAAAACATGCAGGATGGTGTTCCTCAAGGACCAGTGTTGGTAACCACTTAATTCTAATGAAACGCCAGATTCTTCCTTACTGTGTGTTGTTAGCCATTGTAGCACTGCTTTGTTTACATGCAAGCGTTCCTCTTTGTTGTCACTTCCTGTTTACTGTGCTGTGACATTTGTGACCATATATCTCAATGACTGTTCATCTCAGTGGTGTAATTTTTTATGCTATATGTTATTAATATTATCTTTACAATAATGCATTTGTATTATCCTGAACATTTGATGCCACGGGCACTTTTAAGTAAAAGACATTCAGTAAGTGTAAACATTTAACAAGGTATTTTGGTTACCTCAATTCAATGTTGGGATGTTTTAAACAACCACAGCTTGCTTGATGAGTTCAAATGAAATCTCATTGTATTAGAATAATGTGCATCCTCAAAGATTTGTGTGATTAACTAAAACTTGGCTCACACTGATTTTCGGTTGTAGTGAATGGCCTGTATATTCTTAACTCTTGATAGTTACTTGTGTAGTGAGCTAGGTTCGGCTAACTTGTCTTGCTACAATGCAAGGTTTACTCTGCCACTTTTTGCTTAAGAGTGAATTACATCACAAAGATCAGACAGATTTCTGTCCAACAATTAAAGGAAACTAAGTTCTGATGTTGAAGCTCTAATTATTATGTTCAGACACTAAATAAAGGGGGAGAAGGATGAGGCAAAAAAGCCAGTTGTGGATGGCTCATGGCAGGGAAAACAACATCAGTCGAGCACGAGTTTGTATTTAATATTTGTCGTAGGTCATCTTTGGTCATGAGTGCGCTGAACTGGCTGCTGGCGAGCCTTTCAGACTGAACGACCACAAACTGCCAGTTCGAGCTCATAACTAAAGGTTTTCAAACTCTTTTCACAACAGATGTTTTTTTATGTTGTTTTTTGTCTAAGATGGTCAACGATCACTCAGTATAAACCTGAGCGACTGCAGTGTCACATGTCTTGCATGTCTGAAGGAACTTGTGACCAGATAATCAGAATATTGTTGTATGTTTTATTTTTGACTGGATAAAGGCAGATTGCTTGTTGCTACTAGAGTGTTTTAATATGTATTAAATATTTTCACTGCTGCAGCCTGTTGGTGAAGCAGTTCTCTTTGCCAATGCTTAGTTGGGTCATTTATTGTTTCCTGTCACAGAGCAAAGAGGGGGAATACCCTCCGTCCGTTTAGAGAGCTGCATAACTTAAAAAAATAAAAGAGGACCGATTTCTGTTTTAGTGCATGGCTGTATCTCAGTATAAGAAAAAATCCTTTTGGAAAATTGGGTAGTCAAATCCAAGATGGCTGCCACCATATAAGTCCGTCCATCTTATGAGCAGGATAACTTGGAAAATAATCAACGTGTTGACTTCTATTTTGGTGTGTGGCTGCCTCTAGGTGAAAATAAGGTCACCATTGAAATTTGGGTTGCCATGTCAAAATCCATGCCCAAGGCCACCATTAGCCACCCCCTGGCTCCACCTTTGCACCTCACTCTGTGCTACCTTGGACAAGCAAAAAGTACATAAATAAAAACCTACCTCTCTTCGTCTACACAGTGTAACTCCTACCCACTTAAATATCTTGCATCAAAACTATTAAGGTGTACTTAATGTACACCTTAATGTAATCGGGTATTTGTGTTTTGAGGAACATATGACTTTCACTCCACTACCTTTCAAAGACAAATATTGTACTTTTGACTCCACTACATTTCTGCAAAGCTTCTCGTTACTCGTTACTTTTAGCTCAGCTTTGTTGCTGTTTTTCTTTCCTGAAATATGATTGGCCAGATGCTATGCTTCTCACAAGGGGAACCAATCACTGTCGTCGCTCACACCTGGGATGGATTTGGAATTACATCATCCTCTTTAACTGTACTTTTGAATACTTAAGTATTTTCAAAAGTAAGTACTTCAGTATTTTAACTTGAGTATACTTTTGACTGAGCAACGTTTACTTCTAGTTGAGTAAGATTTGACCATGAGTATCAATACTTTTACTCAAGTACTATAGTTGAGTACTTTGTCCACCACTGCCCATTGGTGTATGAATGTTATAAAGCACTGATTATTCTTTGTATAGATCTGGTAGAGTGCGTATCTTTGAGTATCTTGAAAAGGTAGAAAGGTGCTATATAAGTACATTGACTTGCATTTTGTCTTCAATTCCAGTCCAGGAAAACACTCTTCGAAATCTATCAGCTACAGGAGGACAGCATACTTTTTTTTGTTTGTTTGCTTATTTGTTTTTCTCAGTATAGGGCTTTCACATTCAGGCTGGTAATGTTAATATACTTTCTGCTTGGATCTGAAATTTGCTTTTTACTGAAACATTTTAGATTCTGAGCCACATGGCAAGCATTTATCCTGAAACATGAACCTTTGTATCTTTTTGTGGGTCAAAGAGATGCTTTTCTACGAAATCAAGTTTTAGTCACTGAGTATGTATGTTGGATATTCATAGATGGTAAATGATAAATAGACTGTACTTATGTAGCGCCTTTCTATCTAGTCAAAGAAGCTCTTTACACTACAATCTGTGCCCTCATTTACCCATTTATACCACACTCTACTAGATCTATACAAAGCTAATCTCAGGAAATGAGGGTTCAGTGTATTGCCCAGGGACACTTCAACAAGTGACTGCTGGTGGAATCGAACCCCCAACTCTCCCATTGGAGGATGACTGGTCTAACCACTCAGCCACGGCCGCCCCATAGTGTATGAACAGTTCATTTCTGTCAAAATCAGCTTTGAATTAACATTTATGTATTGTTACTACTAATGTGAGTTTAATTGGATCTCTGTGTATAATCTCAGTAGCTTTAAGGTTAACTCTGTGCAGTTGAGCAGCTCTGATGGCAGGTGCATATGCAGTCATTATGCAAATATCTGCTCTGTGTGTTGTGGAGCTGTCAAAACAAACGCACAGGTCCATGGAGTTTATTTGGCAGCTGTGTTAGAGAAATGAGTGAGCCCACTTTTTACTCCACTTGCTCCCAATGCTTCCAAAGCTGCTGCCAATTACCACCACTTAA